CAGACAAGGCACCATCATTCCATCCCCTGGGATTTATGTGCTTCCTCATCCTGGTTTCCTCTACTTCATGAGTTTTCTTTTCCCTTCTGCTACCTTCTAGTGTAAAGTAAAGGGTTTAATCTTTGCAACCCAGAAGCAGGAGTTTTAAGGAAGAACCCAGTGTGCTGTGATGTCTGCCAGACTGAGCAGAACGTTGGGACATTAAGGGTGAGTTAGTTCCCTTACCCATCCTTAACCATTCAATATGATAACAATACCTCATGTTCTGTTCATTAGCAGCTCTTTGAGGTGAAATGTGATCCCATGTGCCTAAATGCCTTGTCATCTCAGTTGGATGGAAGGATCAAGGCACTGTGAAGTGAGCATGTTACATCAGCTATCCCAGATCTCTCTGGTCGGTGTTAGTGCTACTCAGATATCGTGATTGCCTTCAAGTCTAACCCTATTTGATGTTACTGCAATTATAGTTCCTTCACAATCACCATTGTAAGAACAGAATCTACAATACATTTACTCTGTGTCTATAGAGGACCACATCACATCACTTATACTTTTTGCTTCAAACATCACACAGAACTGAGAGATATTAAAAGGAAAAGGAAACGTATATATTTTAATCATATTCTGCATTGATATTCTTCTTCTTTCTTCCAGATATTTCTGATTCCTCTAAGATTTGTTTGTTTTAGAAACTTCCTTTAGCCCTTTTTAGCAGCATGTCTCATATTGATAATCAATTACGTTTACTTTTGATGATGGTTTTTTATCCCCAAGATAATCCAGCAGAATAATTTATGTAGACATAGAGATTCAGGTTTGATAATTGCTTTTATTCAGCACTATAATAAATAGTGTGCTTTATCCCTTGGACTGCATGCCTCATTATAATTATGTGGCTCTCTTTTTGTCTACCAGAAACAGAATTCCTTCAACATGATCTCAAGGTTTTTTCTTTTTTCTTTTCTGAAGTTTGACTATATCAATCATTTCATGTATCTTGGGTTCATATGCTTCCTGGTTTACTCAACATTGTTTTAGAAATAGATTTTTTCCTTTGTGCTTTCATCTACAAGTTGTTGCATCTTCTGTTTTCATGGCCCACATATTTCACTGCCCTCTCTTTTCCTTCCTCTTTTAAGCTCCTGTTCGTCTCCTCATGGTCTGTTTTCTAGTTTTATGACTTGCAAGCATGACCACACACAGCCACACTCACAAACGAATTCAACTCTAGATTCGATATCTGAGAGAAAACTTGGGTCTTTTATCCTTACTTAGTCTGCATTGTTTTACAGACCTTCTGGAAAACTTGGGTCTTCTCCTACATTAATGGATACATAGAGGTCACCATTCTTGGAATATTTTTGTCTTTTCTGCTAAGCCGTGGTTTCTATTGCTGTGAAAGAGGCCTTTCAGTGCATCAGTGCCTAGATACATATGTGCCTCCCAAAACCAGTTTGTGATGATTGGTTCTCTCCTTCCACCTCATGGGTCTTGGGAATTGAACTCAGCAGGCAGGCATAAGTATATGTGCCTTTCTTTTACCAATTGAACTACCTGCAAATTGCAACATTTTAATCCATACATGCATTTGTGTACAAATTTAACAGTCTCATGTGGAGTTAGTGTCGGCGAATGTTCCATATTCATCTGGAGAGTAGGTAGGTTGTCTTCTATCAAGTTTCAGAAGTCCATAGAGCTACAGGAAAATTAGCTGTCATAAATCTTTTCAATGTATTATTTCCCATATGATTATTGTTGCATCGAAAACAGTGTGTTCCAATCTACTATTGTTCCTGAGCTTTTCCTTATCCATTGCATTACTCAGATCTCACTAAAGCAGTGGTTCTCAGTCTTCCCAATGTTGTGATCCTTTAATCCGGTTTGTCATATTGTGGTGACCTACGACTACAAAATTATTTAATTGCTACTCATAACTGTAATTTTGCTATTTTTATGGACCACAATGTAAATATCTGTGTTTATTTATAGTCTTATCTGATCCCTGTGAAAGGGGTCAAACTCAAAGGTTGAGAACCACTGATCTAAAGGAATATAATTGGTAGAATGTGCCTCCCAAAACCAACAATGGCTCTGTCTGGCAGAAAAGCCATAAATGGTAGTTGTTCAGTCAACAAGACTGGATGTCTCAGCAGTCCCAGTTTGGCACTGGAGATCTAGAGGATTCTTAGGGACCTGCTACTTTTCTTCAGTCACTATTGGAGTCCCAAAAATGTAGGTTCTAACTCCAACAAAGGGATGCCTCAGAAGCAGGGTAGATGACATTGCTGATAAGAATGAGAGCAAGCAAAAATAAAAGCTTTCCTCTTCCACGTCCTTTGATGTGGACTTCCAACAGAGATGATGATTAGGGTGAATATTCTCACCTCACATGATCCAATCAAGAAAATCTCTCACAGGAGAGTCCAGATACTTGAGTTTTAGTTGATTTCAGATGTAGTCTTAGTGACAACCAAGATTAGCCATCACATTCCTCAAAAAAATGCCACATTATTGGTATATTTCTTGAAAAAGTAACATTTTGCCACTAAAGTTGAGCCCATAGAATTATTGTGGGTTTCAAAAATATCTCTTAATTGCATATTCTTTTAAGCATTTCTCAAATATCAGAATTTTTATCTCAGGTTACCTTTTATTTGTAATTGGCTATTATTTTTTGTTCATTTCTAAGTGTTCAGTGTAACATTTAAGGGATATGTGCTTAAAAGTCAGTATTTTAAGATTTTATCTTTTTTTCTGTCAATTATGTTTTATTTTATTTTATTTTTTATTTTTTATTGAAAAAAATTTCCGCCTCCTCCCTGCCTCCCATTTCCCTCTACCTCCTCCCACTCCTCTCCCCCTCCACCCACTCCTCTCCCCCTCCCTCTCCAGTCTGAAGAGCAGTCAGTGTTCCCTGCCCTGTGGAAAGTCCAAAGTCCTCCCCCCTCCATCCTGGTCTAGGATCATTGGGCTACCAGGCGACCCTGTTTATGTGCTGAGGAGTTCCATCTGGACGGGTGAGTGTGTGCTATCCAGGGGCAGATTGTCCAGGAAAAGAGCACAAACCCCCCTCCCCCAGCTCCTTCTGCAGGGCTGTCTTTCTTACACACGGCCTCCCCCCAAAGCCTGCGTTTTCTGAAAGGTTCTTTGCTCAGGAACAGTTTTCTGCTCCTACATTAAGGCTACCCACCCAGAGAGGTGAGTGTCTGCCAACCGGGCAGGCCTCAAGGACCCCCGAAAGGGAGCACGTGCACCTTCAGCTTGTTGGCATGGTGTCCTGTGTTCTACTTGTCCCCGCCCTGCCCCCCAAGACCCCCCTTTTGTCCGCGGGTCATTGGACTACCAGGCGTCCATGTTTTGGTGTTAAGATTTTATCTTAACAGGTAACCTGAAGAGTATTTTTCTTTGCTTGATGTATTCATATACATTTACATTTATTATGAAATCAATACTCTTGGTCACTTAGAATCATCTCTATTCTATTACATGAAAAGCCATAGGTAGCACTTACCTTAATGATGTCTGTGAGATGTTCTGTATCCTAGATACAAGGATTCCTTAATCTGGTGCATGGTTTTCAAACTTGTATTCCCCATCAGGGCATTGTCTTCATTTATCAACCATTACGTGGAAGAGCATACAGCTGACACTTGATGGACGTCCTAACAACAAGCTTCTCAACTTATAAAAAGAGGTTTGTTATATCTAAGAAGTTTGGTTTTTATTGCTTTTATTGAGCTATACATTTAGCTCTGCTTTCCTACCTTCCTATACTCTCCCCTTCCTCCTCTCCTTTGACCCCCCCCCCCCCCATGGCCAGTTTTCTCAGGAATTCTTGTCTTTTTCTCCTTCCTATGTAGACCAGCAATGTCTCTCTTTCTTGTCTAGGTTGTCTGGGGTTGTGGAAAGTAGGCTGGTTTTTCTTTGCTTTTTATCCAAAAGTCACTCATGAGAGAGTACATATTACATTTGTTTTTCTGGGTCTGGGTAAGAAGTTTGTTTTGAATCCATGTTCCTGAGCTTGAAGGTATTTAGGTTGTTCCTCAGTCTGTTCCTCACTGCCTTCACATCCTTCATTGCACCGTTTATCATAGCTAGTTCTGTTGCTCTTTCTCTCCCATTTCTCCACCACACATTTTGCTCACCATAATGGCTTCCTGGAAGTAGCGGGTCGACCTGTGAATGTCTTCCCTAGCCCAGGCTTTGACAATGCAGGCTTGCCTGTGGGTGTGTGGCACCTGCCTGAACAGAATGGTGTCAGGCAGCCTGGGGATATCTTCCCGGCACCCAATGACTGCAATGTTTTAAAAATTGTGTGTATATTGTAAGCATTGCTGCTCAGATGGAAAGGGATCCTGGCAGTCAGGAGCCAAGGAATACCACAAATTCACCTTAAACTTAGAAGCTCACAGCCCTGCTTCAGGGAAAGCTTTTCCCAAATTAACAGCTCTGCTCTGGTAGGGGAGGGTTTCCCTAGCCAAGTTGTTACAGCTCTGCTCAGATCCTCAGAAGAGTAACAACTCTACTCTGCTAGGAGAAGCTTTTCCAGTTCTGCTCCCCTCTCCTCCACTCGTCTCCAGTTGAAGTCATTGCTTCTCTGTTCTTCTTAGGCAAAGAAGGTCTCACCCAAGCCTCATTCAAGAGATTCACTGGGAGGGAAGAGTCCAGGAGGTGGCTGACCCTGCAAAAGTGGGAAAGGCAGCTCCCAACTGAACAGGTACAGGGTGGTTTCATGCTCAATGATCTGCTGGTTTTCCTGCTCAGGGATTGGTTGGTTTAATGCTGAGATATTGGTTAGTTTGTTTTGCCGAATTGGTAAGTGGAAGAGTGTGTTTCTGTAGCTTTGGTTTCAGGGGCAAATGTGTTTATTTCACTGGCCTTTTTTAAACGTTGGACTCTGGTTTCAGGGCCAGTGAACTGATTCTAGTCTCAGGGTCAGTGTATGTTTCTTTTGCTCTGGTTTCAGGATTAGGGTGTGCTGCTTTGGACAGAAACGGGTGTTGCTCCCCTAGAAACAGATATGCAGTCCATTGTGGGCCAGCAAGTGAGTGCTGAGAACCCAGTCTGGGTCTTCTGTAAGAGCAGCAAGTCCTCTTAACCATGGGGCCATCTCTGCAGTCCAAGTCATCAAATATTAAACGTAATTACTATTTTTCTACTTTTCCCCATAATGACAATAGACATCTTCTTATACTCAGGTAGGTAAAAGTTTCATTATTATTTACCAATCCATAAAGTTTCATTTCTATGTTAGTTAGGTTTTCACTCCCAACCACTGCCCTACCCTGTCTGCAGGAAATTACAACAATCTGATATTATACCAGCACTCGGGAGGCAGAGGCAGGCGGATCTCTGTGAGTTCGAGACCAGCCTGGTCTACAGAGCTGGTTCCAGGACAGGCTCCAAAACCACAGAGAAACCCTGTCTCAAAAAAAAAAACAATCTGATATTATAGACAAATTAATATATATGCTGGAATGTATTAGAATAGAACCAGAGTTTAGAGACATCTGGCCTTCATTCATCTTGAATATATGTTTAAATTTATCTATTTTGTTGCCTATGATAATTGTTCATTCTTAATATTAAATGGTGTAGCAATGTATAGCTACACAGAAACTTTTATAATTTATTTTTATTTTATATGTATATATGTTTGCCTACATATAGGTATGAAGAGCACATGCATGCCTGGTGCCCATGGATGCAAAGAGAGGGTATTGGATCCCTTGGCACTGGAGTTACAGTTGGGAGCTGCCATGACAGTCTTGGGAAATGAGTCATTTACCTGTAGCCTGTTGTTTAGGTTGTTTTCAATTTCAGTGTCTTTTATATAAAGCTGGTGTGAACTGAAATAAATAAGTCATTAAAAGAAAATATGTCCTCTTCCTCCAGGTTATATATTTGGGAATGTGATGGTCAGATGACAATTAACATATCAAGAAATTGGGAAATACTTTTCCAAGTCTCTGTCCTGTTTTCCATGGCCACCAGCAGTGGGTATGAGAGTTTCATCCTCCACAACCTGCCAGGTCTTTGTATGACAAGTCTTTATTTCTGAGTATTTTATGGGTGTGTCAAGAGTCCCCTCAGAGTCACCTGTCTCTCTTCCCTAAGTGTTAAGCATGTTGCGGCTGTATGTTTCTCTTAGTGGAGCATCTACTCACCCTTCTGGCCAACTTTTATTTTCTGAAATGTCTATTTTCTTACTGGCTCTTTTTGAGGTTTGGGAAATCTGGAAACAGTAAGACTGTCACCTGATACACAAGTTCCCACATTCATTTTCCCAGGCAGGAAAAATATGTTACTAACATATATTTGGAAGAGTGGACATTTTCTCACTTTATGGAGTTCTTAACAATCCAGTTGTTCATTTAATGAAAGGAGGTTTGTTATATCTAAGAAGTTAGTCTGTAATTCATTCGTTTTCTCCTACACGATTCATGTTTAGGTTGTATTCTTTTCAAAAAAATATTTATTTATTTATTATGTATACAATATTCTGTGTGCATGTCTGCAGGCCAGAAGAGGGCACCAGACCTCTTTACAGATGGTTGTGAGCCACCATGTGGTTGCCGGGAATTGAACTCAGGACCTTTGGAAGAGCTCTTGACCACTGAGCCATCTCTCCAGGCTCTAGGTTGTATTCTTGATCAATTATCTTTTAGATTTCTTTTCACTATGTACTGAGTGTCTGCCTGTATGTCTGTGTGTACGATATGCGCATTTGAGTGCCGATGTCCACAGAGACTAGAAAAGACTGTCAGTTCCCCTGGCTCTGGAGTTATAGGCATCTGTCGGCCACCATATGGGTGCTGGAAACTGAAGTCAGGTCATCTGCAATAGCCAAAGGCACTCTTAACCTCGGAGATGTCTCTAGTCCTGTGTAGATCCTTTGTTTGTTTTGGGTTGACTTTTGTATCCTGAGATAAACAACTTGTCTATATTTATATTTGTGCATGGGGATGTCTGCTTGTCCCAAAATAAGACAGAAGACAGGGCATTGAAGGGGATATGAGAGGGAATACATAGCCCCTCATCCTGTGATCATTTTTACATTTTTAGGACATTCAAGAAGCCTCAGCCCAACTGATAGAGCCAAAATTACCTGCAGATATGATGCAACTATTCCTAAAAACATCTCAAAGTAAGTTTAAAAATAAAAACAAACAAACTGGGGTCTGAAGATAGGGTTCATTCTTTTATATTTCTGAATGTCTTCCAGAGGATCCAGAGTTGATACCCAGCACCTACCCAATGGTTGACACTGTTTGTAACTCCAGTTCCAAGACATCTCAAACTCTGGTTCCCTCTGTGAGCAGTAGGTACTCACTCATGTGGTGCACAAACTTCCCTATGGAAAAACATTCAACAAATATAAATAAATTAATTAATTGTGCTTACTTAGGACAAGAATACTTGTAAAATCACATATTAACCTTAAATTTAATTTACTAAAAGAAATTTTAAAAGCGATAAGAACATTTCAAAAGATTATTTTTTTATTTTTGACTTTTTAATAACATATTGTATATTTTTCCTAATGGGAAAACAGAACCTATTTAAAGACTCAAAGTATTCTTACATGTAATTTTAAAACAATGTAACTCTGAGAGCCATAAAAATCTTCACATTTCTCACTCTTCTGCCCTCCTCACACACCCTTTGTACTGACACCTAATCTCAAGTGTCTCTCTCTAGTCCTCACTCAGGCCGTCATGCATGAGCCATCCTTATTCTGTGTGAGCTTCTATCCACAGGATTAATAAGCTCACAACCTTTGCTTCATCCTGGCTTTTTCTGAAAGTTTTTTCTGCAGCCTAGACCCAGTTTACCAGGGTCAAGGTCATCAAAGGACAGGGTGATCCTCAGGCTGAAGGTCACGATACTGGGCTGCTCCTCCCTACCACTACAGGGAGTCCCAAAAAACCTCGGTGACCAGCATATTCCTGCTTCATTGAAGTGTCTTTGTGTCTTTGCTAAAGGTGTCCCCTCACACGTGTGTGACTCTTCTGTCCCCTTCATATTCTTTTCTGTCTTATTGTCATTACCAATCAGGCACGCTGTCTTCATTTCTCTAGGTTTATAAGGAGTCTGGAAGTCATGTGTTCATCCTCCAAGATTTTTCCTTTTGAAGGTGTTTTCATGCTCTGGTTTTTCATATTCACTATGAGTTTCAGGATAAGCCCATTAGTTTATGAAAAGTCTGTTAGATTTCTGTTGGTATTGCACTGGATCTATAGGTCTTTTTGAGGAGAACAGACACCTGTATCTTCCATTGCATGAAGGTGATTGCAGAGTGAATTCTAATTGGTCTTAATAATAAAATCTGGAGTCAGATATTACGAGGTTGAATCTATAAGATCAGAACAGCAAAGCAGCCAGCTTCCAGTTCTTTCCTCTATGAAATCCTCAGACCAAATGGAGCATCCTGTCTCTACAAGACCTCAGACTGAATGCCTGGATCTCCTATCTCCTCCCACCTTATATTCCTCTCTTCAACAAACCCTGGGAAGAAAAGTGTGAGCCACCAGTGCCTGACTCTCTTTCTGTTTTAGACTGGATCAATCTAGTGTATCCCAGGGTGGCCTTGAACTCGCAGAGATCCATTTGACTGTACCTCCTGAGTGTTGGGAAAGGTGAGTTCCAACACTGCCTGTCCTCTCTGGCTAACTAGTGGCTATCTGCACACACTGATTCTCAGGCAAGCTTTATTGTCATAGGACAAACAAAATATCACCACAGTCGACGAATCTATACATCTTTACTCTCAGCAATGATTTGTCCCATTCAGTGTCTAGGCACAACAGAGAAGTGGGCAGAGTTTTTCTAATTATTTCATATTTCCTGATGCTATCTCCAGTGACAGGGATTTTAAATTACAGCTTCCACACATTTCACTGTGGTCAAATGTCTGTGGGTAGATTTTAACAAAAGCTCTCTTTTAGGTTGAAATGTCAGGTTTCTTTCTCTATGATGAAAATGTCTTTGAAAACATATATTTGCTTATGTTTCAATTTCAGTATTTTGAAGTTGCAAGTTAATTATGAGAAAAGAAACAAATGTCCAACACCCAGTTTGGGGGAAATTTTCTAAGGCAGCCACAGGTCTAATGTTTGCCCAAATGGAATCTTTGGAATCATAGAGATACTCCTTCACCTCCCAGCCAGCTCCATCAGGTAGGTGTTGAGATCACAGTGGAGAGAAAGAAGGGGATACATGTGAAGAGTTAGGTATGTATGTGTAACTCCAGAAAGATTTGTATTATGTAGAATAATTAGGTAACTTTTTTCAAAATATCTAATAATATTTTTGCCAACACAAAAGGGTCAAGGTTAGTACTCGTGTGTTTTCCCTCTTGTTTTCCCATCCAGTCATGCAGATTTTAGCAGTGTCTGCTGTAGACTGTTTACAGAGGGGGTGTTTTATGGATGGGTCTTGCCATATGGATTATTACCATGACGCCTGCTAAGTGTTGCTCTGATACCTACTTCCCTGTGCAGTTACTAGTATACAAGCATTGCTTGTCTTTGAGTAAAGTTTCCCTTTTATCTTTTGTTTATTAATGGATTTACTCATGCGTTTGTGTCCACTCAGAAACACCCATTTTTTAAAGGAGTACCACTTTGTCATCATTATATACTGTGATGCTTAAATTATCCCATAACATGCCCGTGCAAGGACACACATTCAAGTGGACCTGCTCTTCACTTGTTATCTGTCTAGAATTCTGGATTATCTGACCACCCCCAGAAGACAGTAATCACCAAATGCTAGCTGTCAGTGACACTTTGTCTCCTCTTTCTGTCAATATCAGGTCTCTTCTATGATAAGAACAACAGGAAGGCAGAGAGAACACGCAGAAGGTTGACAAGAAGCTGACATGAGCCCTTGTTTCCAGTATGTGAGTCATCAGTGCCACCAGTGTGTGTGTGTGTGTGTGTGTGTGTGTGTGTGTGTGTGTGTGATGTGTACATGGGTGTGTATAGGAAGGGTCTGTGAGATGAACAAAGAAGAGGAAGATGTCACTGCACATCTTTGACTTGACTGGATGCAGACAGACTACTCCATCCCTATATTCAGTACAGTAGAGTGCATGAGCGTTCTCATCGCCTTCTTCCCCTCCCCATGAGATTTCTCTCCCCTTACTCTGCCTTCTAGTAGAACAGGGGAGAAAACAGTGAACTCTCCATGCAAAACCAGCTCCTGGAGAAGAACCAAGTGTGGTGTGGTCTTGTCAGCCTGTTACCTGAGCAAGAGTGACAAGATCATGTGGGACTCACCAGGTGAGTCATTTCCTTTTCTCTTCCCATCCATGTGACCTGCAGCGGATCTGTGATGCCTTGTAGGAACACATCCTGTTGCAGCAGGGTAGCAGCAAGAGCAGCACACTGTGGAACAATGACATTCATAGACTCCCCAGATGACAGAAGTCTGCATGGGTTCCTTTAAATGACCAGGACTGAAATGGAAGCCATCCCTTCAGACCATTTCCTGAATGGGTCATGCATTTCTGCATCACATTTGCAGGGAGTGCTTATTAAAATGGTAGAAATCTGGGTCCACACTAGACACCGAATCAAACCCTGTGAAGTGTGGTGTGGCATAGCCACTTCTTTCTGATGGCTGTCCACGTTAAAAAGTATTGCTACTGTGTTTGTTATTCTGTCTTCTAGGATATGGAGTCACAGACTGCTTAATTCCATACCGTGTTCTCTTGCTACTCCCGTAAATACCAGTGTGTTACATGGCATGTCAAATACGCATCAATTCCTTCATATATATTTATCCAGATATTCACATACTGGCCTCTTTTGTGAGTACCTTGTTCCTGCACTGTGAAGACTAGCACGGGTTCCTGTATTTTGTGTTAGATAGGCAAACTGTCAGTAAGCAGAAGAAATCAGTAATCAGAGCAATTCCATGTATTATTGGCGCTTTAAAGATCATAAAGGGGACAGGAAATAGTTGTGATGGAGATTGTGGTACGTGATGTTACCCCCTAAAGTTTTCAGAAGTTAGCATGTGATCTGAGTCCTGAATGGCAAAAAGAAGCAAGGCCATGCATAAGCCATGTTATGGGCGTGCTTGCCCCCATGGAGAACAGTGGATCTAAGAGCAGGGGACAAGGCCAGTGGCCAGAGCCTTGAAGACAATGTGGACACTGCTTGGGGATAGGGTAGAAAGGAAGATGTGTGTCGTTTTCAGCTGACTATGACATTTGGATTATATGATCAGTGTGGAAGGTGAGTTATGGAATTGACATGATTTGATTCCTTTTGGTGGAAGGTGACTTGGCACTGCACAGAGAAAGGCCTGGGGAGGGCGGGATGAGGGAGTGTGTGGAGACAGTGGAGATGGTTCAGAAGACAGGGGAGGGATGGAAGTGGATTGAAAGAGGGATGAAGCCATGCTGCAGTGATCAGCGTGAGAGCTGCCCTGTGCAGCCTTGTCTGGGAGAAGGCAGATAGCACCTGTATGCGCTGTGCATTTTCCTTGTGGAGACGTTGCTCTAACATCTCTGGATTTGTCTGACCACTTGGAGACACAGTGCTTCCGTTTACTGACATCAGTTGTTGCACGTGTATTTGACACAGGGTAGTTTGAATACCCAAACTAGTTGTTGTAAAACTTAGTAATTTAACAACGTGTCAGCTGATGAATAATTTTCAGATGTAAACTTTTCTAAGTAAAACTAACTGTAGAAGAATTTCCAAAAGAATAAGAATCTAACATTTGTCTAACGAAAAGCAAACCTAACGTTTAAAGTATTTTTGAAAGTGGTTGTTCTACAGCATGTACTGCTCTTGGCAGTTTTACGGATGAAGCGAGTAGGCTTTAGGCAGAGTCAAAGTGAAATCAGTCTCTAGGTGCTGCAGCTCCTGCTTGTCCCTATTCTTTCTCCAGGAGACTACTGCCTTTAGAAATGCGTATTTTTGACAGGTGGGCGTGGCACACACATTTAATCCCAGGACTCACGAGACAGAGCAGTATGATGTCTGAGTGCAAGGCCAGCCTGTAATTCCAATTGCATACATCAACATTAGTCTGTCACATATGCAGGAACTTCTGACTGGCATTTAGAGCAGATGTTGTAACTAAAGGCCCATAAAATCAATGAGTGAGCATTCTAATGCTCTCAATTCAGAGTGGTAAGCACAGCTCAGAGATCACAGCTCACTCTGTTTCGTGCCTCACAGATATGCCCAGCCTGTGTTTGGAAAATGGGTCCAGCACATCCAGGCTCAGGGAAGCAAAGTTGCTGGGCCTAGGAAGGTTCCACATCTCTCTGACTCTAGAACAGTGGTTCTCAGCCTGTGACTTGTGACCTCTATCCCCCAAACTATCTATCCCCCCCAAACGTCTATCCCCCAAACTATTTCCATTATGATTCTTACCTGTAACAACTTTACAGCGATGAAGTAGCAACAGAAATAATTTTCTGGTTGGGATCACCACACATGAGGGACTGTATTAAGAGTCATGTCACAGCATTAGGAAGGCTGAGAACCACTGCTGTACAGATATCCAAACACAGAATCCGGCTTCTCAGATATGTCTGGGATCCCTTCATCATTGTCCCCATACTCCTAGGGAGGCACAGCCCCACATCACGACACCCACACTCACATCTCCGTGCAAGGGAAATCCTGTTCTTCTTTCTCCGTCATTTCTATATCCACACACTATGCTATATTTCCAAATTTTCTTTTTTTATGTCTTCAGCACTGAGCTTAAGGATGTGTCTGATTCTTTGACCAACCTTTTTCCTGTTTTGTGATTCTTCTGCAGGGTCTGGGTCATTGTTCTGCACACACAACCACAGAGAGTACAACAGCAGCCTCCAGTCCCTTGTTGCTGACCTTTGAGGAAGCTGGGCATGTAAGGTAGGTTTGCTCTCAGGAGACTTGCTCTCAGGAACAGGATGTCCTTGCCAGAGGCTGGACTCGAGGATGCTGCAGCACATAGATCTGCCCAGCATCTGTGGCCCTGTCCGAAGCTCTTCAAAACTGTGGTGGGAGCACATGTGGGGATTTTTAAAAGTGGTCCCTAGACACTGGTATGGCTCCCCTGGCAGTGCAGGACATTCCCAGCTATATTCTTGATTTTTCTGGTAGCTGTTCAATGAGAATGCTATACCATGAAAAGAAATCACTGGTGAATTTAAAAAGCCACAGTATGGGGACTGGCGACATAGCTCTCGAGGCAGAATGATTGCCTAGAATGGAAATTGCTCTGTGTTCTTTGACCCTCTTGATGTGGGAGTGATTTCTTATTAATAAAGAAACTGCCTAGACCCATTTGATAGGCCAACCCTTAGGTAGGCGGAGTAAACAGAACGGAATGCTGGGAGAAAGAAGCTGATTCAGGGAGTCGCCATGATTCTCCCACTCCAGACAGACGCAGGTTAAGATCATTCCTGGTAAGCAAGCTCGTGGGCTACACAGATTAATAAAAATGGGTTAGATCAATATGTAAAAGCTAGCCAATAAGAAACTGAAACTAACGGGTCAGGCAGTGTTTAAAAGAATACAGTTTCCGTGTAATTATTTCGGGTAAAGCTAGCCGGGTGGCGGGACACAGCCCGCCGCTCCGTATTTCAACAGAGTGGCGCCCAACGTGGGGCAGGAACCCACGACCCTGAGATTAAGAGTCTCATGCTCTACCGACTGTCCAGACAGTGAGATGTCTCTGTCATTTCTAGAGTTTTCTTATTTCTTGTTTACTTAGGTAGTATTATATCCTTCTGGAGTCTTTGATGGAGTTAAAGAATGAATAGATAGTTATAGTTTTCCGTAGTTATGATAAAGATTATTGTAACTTTTACTTGATAACTGTTATATGTAATTTTGCTATGTTAAAGCCTTTTTTTTTTTTTTTGTTTAAACCGAAAAAGGGGAAATGATGGAGGAAGGTCATTGGCTAATAAAGGAACTGCCCTGGCCCATTTTATTGGTTAGAAAATAGGTGGGAGGAGAGGAGAAGACAGGACAGAACGCTGGGAGGAAGAGGAAGTGAGGTCAGAGACTCACAGCTCTCCTCTCGGGAACAGACGCCTGAGAGAGACGCCATGCCCTGCTCCCGGGATGAAGCTCCGACCCAGGATGGACATAGGCTAGAATCTTCCTGGTAAGCGAACCTTGGGGTGCCATACACAGATGATTAGAGATGGGCTAAATTAATATGTGAGAATTAGCCTAGAAGAGAATGGGCCAAGCAGTATTTAAAAGAATACAATGTCTGTGTAATTATTTTGGGTAAAGCTAGCCGTGGGGGCGGCCGGGTGCCGGGGACGCAGCCCCGCTGCCCCTACTACTACACCCTCTGGGCATGTTCACCCTCACCTGTAATACCAGCACTCAAGACGTAGAGGCAGGAGGAAAGAGATGTGAGAGTCATTACTGTTTATGAGCGTATGGGTCCCAGCACCCATGGCAGATAGCTCACAACTGCCTTTAACTCCAGCTCCATCAGGAGTCAATGCCTCTGCCCATCATGTGCATACGACAGACAGACAGACAGACAGACAGACAGACAGACAGACATAATTAAAAGTAAAAATAAATCTAAACAAGAAAAAAGAAGAATCAGCTCCAGGTCATTGAACCAAGGGGAAAACACAGTGGAATTTAAAATATGAACATTATAATGGCTAATGGACTTTAACAGTCTACAGTCTTGCTGGAGAGATGTTCAGTGGTTAAGAGTGCATTCTATTCTTGCTGAGGACGCAAGGTCTGTTTCCAGCATCCATTTCCAAAATGCGTGATGGACCGTACCTCAGCTCAAGGAAGGTATGACCTCTCCTGACCTTTGTAGGCACGTGCATTAATGTGTAAATACACACACAAATATACACAACATAATTATTATTAAGTTATGCACATTCTTTGCCTTAAAATCATTTACAAATTAAAATAATTGCTGTGAAACATTAAAGAAAAATGCTCAAATGCCAGGCAATAATGAGAACAGTTTTCATTCGCATTATGTGGCAAATGCGTGCACTTCCAGCTATTTGAACACTGGGGTTACAGGATCATTACTGCAAAGAAGTTTCAGAACAGCCTGAATAGCATAGAGAGGCCCTGCCTCAAAATGAAAACCAAACAAAAACCAATAATATCTCAGAAAATGTGAAATTTCTTAGGAAAACAATCTTAGAGTACATGGTTTTTCAAGAGATGTGGATCATTATAAAATAATTTTTTGCAGGGAAATCAATGATAAAATTACTTATTTCGTGGGAATTCAACCATATACATGTAGAAATGGAATGAAAATGTTACTGGGCCGAGAAGAAAACAGTAGCATTAAGAATGTGTTTACATTAAAATGAATACTTGAGCTGGAGCAGTGTGCTAAGCTGGGAAGACCAGCAGCACTCTGAAGGCTGAGGGAGGAAGGGGAAGAGTCCCAGGCTGGGCTGGGCTGCTCTGAGACTCTGCACTAAACACACAAAGTAGATATCAGGACTATTATCATTCCATTCACTGTGGGAAAGTTTCAACTTAGTTCTGTCATGGGAAAACATCCTCTTTTCACTGGATGTTAGGCAGAGCCCTGTGTGTCCCTGGCAGACACATTAAAGATTACCATCCCCTAAATGGGGAAGTGACTTCCTCACCACCACATACAGCAAGGCGCACAGAAAATGGCGGCTGGGACTCTACTCAGATAGCTCACTCTCAGGAGATTTCCCTGCAGACAGCCCTGTGCCTTAGGGGTAGGAATAAGCCCAGCAACAAACACAGATTTCCTTATGGTAGTACATGTGCTTTCCTGTGGTGTTTGAAATTTCATATCCAGGAAGGAAAGTACTTTAAAGTGTAATCTGAGAAAATACTTGTGCTTGGGTGGTAAAAGTAGGGCTGGGGAGACAGCTAAATCAGTAAAGTGCTGGCCTTGTGGGCATGAGGCCTTGAGTGTCATTCCCAGAGAGCATCATCCAGAAAATGAAGATAAACTACAGGAGGAAAAGTAGCAGGTGTGGCGGGACATGCTTATGTGTGAAGGTGGAGGCGAGCCCATCCCTGGAGTGTGCTGACGAGCTAACCCATCCTGCCTTGCGTGTTCCAGGCCAGTTGGAAACCTTGTCTAAGAAAAACATCAGGGGGATGGCGCCTGAGTTACAGCACCGGAGGCTGTCTTCTGTCCCCTGACCTCACGCGCGCGCACACACACAAACACACACACACACAATTGCTCACGCACTCACAGGCATGCTCGAACCCACAATCGCGCTTTGGATAAATGATTATACACCTTCCATACTTCAGGAGAAGTAGTCATTTTGTTGAGTTTCTGGAGTAGTAAAGACGAATGTAATCTATTCTGATGCTGTGTGCATGCCTCTGTGTGTGTGTGTGGTGTGTGTGTGTGTGTGTGTGTGTGTGTGGTGTGTGTGTGTGTGTGTGTGTGTGTGTGTGTGTGTGTGTGTTTACACACAGAGCTCCACCATCTCTATCTAATGAGGCTGCTTTATGTTAGCCTTAGACTGGGATTGGTCTCCAATCTCGGGTTTACATTTGATATACCTAAGATGTCCAGTTTTATGTGCCAGGAAAGTATAATGAAGTGAAAAAACACTGCCTTATCTTATCTAAGGTCCCTTCAAGTCCAGGTCACAGCCAATGTTCCCTCCCACCCAAATATAGACGCCACTGGGCCCAAGACTCTCACTGATGTAGTCCCCATTATGGCCAGGAGGTGGCATTCAAACTACATGCCTACATTTATTTTCTTTAAAAGGGCTGAAGTTTTATGGAATAGCAATGCGTTTTTAGTGTGTTTGGAAAGCTGGCACACGTATAGAGCAGTTCCATTTATGGATTGCAGCAACTGTAGTGCTCCACAACTCACTTCATCCTCCCTGAGTGTAAAGTGGGCAGTGCACACGGGATACAGAGTGGTGCTCTGTAGAGAATATGAATGTGGTGGGCACCTTGAATCCCCTGACACTGGGATAAATGGATTTCCTAGATTTTATATCCCCTCTCCAGGAGGCTGTGGTACAGTCCCCAGATCGCTGCCTCCCAGGCAAGTTGTATCCTGGTCAGTCACTGCAATTGTGTTGCACCATGCCTGCTGGGGACTTCCAAGAGCAACCTGGTGTTTGTGGTGTGGTTGCCAAGTACGCTTCCATGGTGTTTGTGGTGTGTTTGCCATGTACTTTTCGATGAATATGCTCTGCATATGGCTCAGATGTAATATGTATTCACCCTTACGATGTAGAACAAGATTGGGGCCCCTTCTCTATTGCAGGAAGATCTCCAAAGTATTTCCTTTACCTCACCATCATTTTGGAGCCACTAATTTGATATTGAAAGAGAAATTATCCCCTGTGCCCTACAAGAAGAGATAACACAGAAGAAAAGAGGCAGGAACCCCAAGTCCATTGACAGCCACAGGACATTGTCTGAGCTACTGTTTTGTTGCTGGGAAGAGGCGCTGTGCTGAAGAGAATTTACAGAACAAAGCATTAAATGGGGAGCTTACTTTCAGTGTCAGAGGGTTAGTCCAGTACCATCACTGTGGGCAGCATGGCAGCAGGCAGCCTGGCAGGGCACTGTAGCAGAAACTGAGAGTTTACATCCTGATCACAGGCAGGAGGCAGAGGGCTTTTGAGACATCAGAACTCACCCAGTGACACGCCTCGTCCAATAGGGCCACACATCCTAATCTTTCTTAAATTATTCACCATTGAAACATTAACCATAGGAGCTTACGGGGACCATCCTCATTCAAACTACCACTGTCATGTAAGGGATTTCCTCTGCCCCATTAGCAGCTACAGAGGGAGAATTGGGGCTGGTTGAATACTCATAAGTGCATTGACTAGAATCTGTTCCAAGATGTCAGTCATTAATACAAGAGACTACTGTGT